TTACTGTTTAACTCTTGGAATACTCTATTTAAACCTGTTGTAGTTTTTTCTTTTACAGTTTCCCAAGACTTTCCCGAAAAAAAAAGGCAAGTGTCATCAGCATAGATAACCACTAATCCACCCGTATTTAAGTCACAAATAGTATTAATATATAAAATAAATAAAATTGGTCCTAACACACTGCCTTGTTGTACTCCACAATCAATTTTTTTTTTACTACTTAATTCCCTATTTACTGAAACTAATTGTGTTCTATTTTCCAGATAGCTAGATAACCAGCTTAGACTTTCCTCATTTATTCCAAAACCTGGCAAAATATTAATCAATTCCCCATGGTCTACAGTATCGAAAGCCTTAGCCAAGTCCAAAAATATGCTACAACTTTTTCATTACTATCTAATTTTTCATAATTACCTAAATTGTGTTATTGAATATAAAGCATTAATGGTACTCCTGCCCGGTCGGAAGCCAAACTGAAATTGGGATTAAAGTTTATATTTTTCTAAGTAAGAGATTAGTCTAGACTTAACTATTTTTTCAAGAATCTTAGAGAAATTGCAAAGCATAGATATTGGTCTGTAATTAGACATGTTATCTTTACTCCCTGATAATAGTATAAATTTTCCGATCCTGGGACCACCACCACCACACCACAACCGCATCACCACCATCACCACCTCTCCTCTTCACCACCACCGCCACTGCCACTCCTCTTCACCGCTCAGCCGATACCACCACACCACCACCACCTCTCCTCTTCACCGCCACCGCCACTGCCACCACCACCACCACCGCCACCGCCACTCACCACTTCACCCGGCCAGGGATGACCCACCCCTGCTACCTCATTTGCTGCTAGCCACAGCAGTAGGTTGGGCTACGTAATACCTATATTATATATATATAAACACATTATATACCTAATCCCTACCACTAAACACATTATATACCTAGCCCCCCACCATACATAGTATAACAATTAATAGTTGAGTGTGTAAATATTCAGTCACAGTTTTGATTCAACAGTGTAGTCAAGTCTCATAGTATTGCTATAACAGTGTTAAAATGGCAGGACCAATAAGTGAAATGAAACGGATATACAATTATGTTGCACCTCTATCGCCATCAGAACTTATTGATTGCAGTAATTTTACAATCGACTTTGAAAATCGAATATTCTTAAACGCCGGACTCGACCCGAAAGATCAATTTAATATTGTACTGCGAATAATTACACCGTCGTGATATGTAAATATATCTTCAGACTTTTTGAAACGAATTTATTCACTGATGGGTAATATTTTATCACACATTCTCGATCCCGCTGTAAAATATAGAAAAATCATTTTTTTGGAAGATGAATTCGTTTTGCTAACAAGTATGGTATATAAAGGAGAGCATGTGTTGGTCATAGAGTCCAAAAAAACCAGCGGATGTAGAATCATATTAACTCGTAGAGATCTTATGACCAGTGGCGTATCCAGAATTTTTTTTTTTTTGGGGGGGGGGG